CAGTACTGCCTCCCTTCTGGACTGGTGAACTAAACCTTAGTACTTTTTCATTCGCTGTGCTCATTGTGAGAACTTGTATTGTTCTATCATTTCGTGGAAGAATACCACATGTGCTCTTGAACCGTAAGATCCTCATTCCTTGATGCAAGCTCTAGAAACGGTTATCCTCATAATAAAAGTTTTCAAAAGGAACCAGAAATGGAGAATCGGCCGCCTTCCGTTGGCAAATAATCAAAGAACTAGGTAAAATGGCCAAACAGAAGTTTTCGGGGCCATATCAAGTGTTTTGAACAAAAGCAAAAGTTCTCAAGAGTCAAGGATTCCAACATGCGGCATCGTGTCTCTGAAGCAGTGCGCTTATCCACTAGGCCGTCGATCCCTTGCCGTAAAGAGTTATCGTTCTCAACTTGTGCAAACAGAGCAAAGATTAAATGGTCCGTAACTCCCTTCAGAGAATCGTTCCGCAAATTCGGAGGGCAGATTTGGATTCAGCGGCTCAAGACACGTCCATATACATCTCATTGCAAATGGCCGGATCGACCTGGGGTTCCCTTGTCGGAAGATTGCACCATAGAAAAGTGCGTCATGTGAAAAGTGCTGGAGGACGTTCACCTACTCGATGCAAATCCGTTTGGTTGCTGCTCTTTTCCGTCCAGGCTCAAACTTGCACCGTAACTTGTTAGCTGCAGCGTTGACGTGCTTGTGGTTGGGACTGCGACAGTGGCTGTATTTAAGAGCCCCGAAACTACAAAGAAAAAGTCATTCTTTCTGGACATCTCTAGCCATGAAGGATTTGAAGATGAATATGAATTCGTCATAAAGGGAGAATATTGCAGGTTTTTTTTCTCCCGAAGGACACAAGAAATTTGCAAAGTCTTCTGGCTGTATCAAGCTTCTTGGAACGAAAAACTCTCGTAAGGCTGCGTTCATACTTTGCAGCAGCGTCCACCAGCGACCATCAGACGTTTTAAACGTCGTTGCAGACGTCCACTAGCGTCCAGGAGTAGATAGTATGGAGAAGCAGGAGGCTATTGATAGAGTTTGGGTGTGTAAGTAGGAGGGATGAGACAGATGGATGAGGCGTCGGGATACTGTGGTCTGTGCAACCGCATCATAGTACCACATAATACCGTACTCCTGGGCGCTAATAGAATTGGCGTTTGCTAAACCGATACCTATATTCCCCTAATCTCCCAAGAATCTGATGGACGCTGGTAGACGCTGGCACATTGGCGTTCGCTAGACCGATATCCATACTTCGGTGGGCGATTGGTCGCTGCTGGACGCTGCTGCAAAGTATGAAGGCAGTCTAAGACTCGTTTACTTAAGTTTCAAGCAAAACTGTTTTTGTTGTGACAGATTCAGAAAGGCATATTGAAGGAAACAAAATATACATCAAAAAGGTGATTTTCACTGACCAGTAGCGTACGGTGTCGACTCTGTGTCAGGCTCATTTTCTGTTGATGGCGTGAAAGTATCAGCCTCGCCTAAGTGACTTTTTTCTGAACACATCACACAAGAAAGCTCCAACAAGACAAAACTTCCACTTACTCTCTGTAGTCTGATCCACAGTTGTGGGCGTTTCTGTTCCTGTTGTCGTTAGCGCAACAGAATGTGAAGGGCTATGTGCGAAGGTAGAAGATGTGTAGTCAGCTTTGCCTGTAGGTGTGAAAAAATATTTCGAGAATATGTGGACTGTAGATGTTCCGATTGTTGCTTTTTCGGTGGTACTTTCTCTCGTTGTTGATGAATACTGGCCTGAGACCGAAGAGGTGCCCTCTGTGAATGCTTGGCTTGTTGTTGTTCCGGCAGTCGTTCCTTCATGGGATGTCAAGTCCTGAAGTGAAGCCATGGAGATGCTTTCCGTTAAATATTTGGTCCGTTGTTGCTTCAGAAGTGGTTTCCTCATCAGACGACGATTCCTGAGGTGAAGTAGCCGTTGTGCTTTCTGTAGATATTTGGTCCATTGTTGTTATCAGTAGTAGCTCCTCCATGAGATGAAGAATAGTCATCAGAAGTCGAGAGCAGGAGCTCTGTTGAACTTTGGTCTGCTGTTGTTCTGTAGAGGCTCCTCCATCTGGTGACGACTTCCATATTGAAGTCGTGGTCGCACGTTCCGTGGACATTTCGCTTGTTGTTGTTTCAGTAGTGTCTTCTCCAGCAAGGGTTGAGTCATAGTCTTCAGCTGAAGTCGATGAGTAGTCCGACGTAGCTCGAGGTGAAACCCATGGATACTCCGACGTAGAAGAGCTGTCAGTCTCTGGTGGGAATTCAGTCAGTGATGAAGTCGTGCTCTCATAAGTTCCTCTTGACTGAGCTGTTTCGCCCGCCATGGAATGATGCTGGGAGGTTCCGCCCTCTGTCGTGAGGTAGTCGGAACCCATGAATGTTTCCGACTGTTTTGAAACTGTCGTATCATTTGCGTCTCGTGTAACTGTGAAGACAGAGAAGAATTTTTTGAAGAAGGATCGGGTGGTTCACTAAGTGCTGCCTCAGTACTTATCGTGACTTTTGCTGTTTCATTCGAAAATGGATTTTCTGAAGAAGTCCGGGAAGTCAAATGAAATGGATCGTCTGTAACAGATTGTGTTGACGTTGAAGTAGAGGGAGCCGTCATTTGGCCAGAAGTTGCTACAGTCGTGACTTCTGTAGAAGGTGTTGGTGAAGAGGACGTTTGGCTAGTAACTTCTTCAGTCGTGACTTGTGTAGAGGGTATTAGTGAGGAGGACGTTTGGCTCGTAGTTCCTACAGTTGTGACTTCTGTAGAGGGTGTTAGTGAGGAGGACGTTTGGCTCGTAGCTCCTACAGTTGTGACTTTTGTAGAAACAGTTGGTGTGGACGTTTGGTCAGAAGTTCCCGTAGTTGTGGCTTCCGTGGAAGTAGTTGGTGTGGACGTTTGGTCAGAAGTTCTCACAGTTGTGACTTCTGTAGAGGGTGTCAGTGAAGAGGACGTTTGGCTCGTAGTTTCTACAGTTGTGACTTTTGTAGAAGTAGTTGGTGTGGACGTTTGGTCAGAAGTTCCCGTAGTTGTGGCTTCCGTAGAAGTAGTTGGTGTGGACGTTTGGTCAGAAGTTGTCACAGTGACTTCGGGTGTCAGTGAGGAGGACGTTTGGCTCGTAGCTCCTACAGTTGTGACTTTTGTAGAAACAGTTGGTGTGGACGTTTGGTCAGAAGTTCCCGTAGTTGTGGCTTCCGTAGAAGTAGTTGGTGTGGACGTTTGGTCAGAAGTTCCCGTAGTTGTGGCTTCCGTAGAAGTAGTTGGTGTGGACGTTTGGTCAGAAGTTCCCGTAGTTGTGGCTTCCGTAGAAGTAGTTGGTGTGGACGTTTGGTCAGAAGTTCCCACAGTTGTGACTTCTGTAGAAACAGTTGGTGTGGACGTTTGGCTCGTAGTTCCCCTAGTGGTGAGTTCTGTAGAAGTTGTTGGTGAGGACGTTTGGCTGGTGGTTCTCGTAGTTGGGACTGTAGTGGCAGTCAATCCAGTTAGTGTACGGTCCTGTACTCATTTTCGGTGCGGCAGATGTTCTGTAGGGTGTTGTGGAGGCATCAGTGGTACAATTCACTTCAACTAAGCCAATGAGCTCGCAGTATCTTGGGCACCCACAAGGACACTTTCCTATGTAGCTTCCAACTGCAGATGAGTTCGTTATTAGTTTCCAGAATGATACCCCAAGTGGTTTTTTCTGGCACAGAACAGGGCACACGTACTTGGAATGTTCAGCATAGGAAGTGTTACCGATTTCATAACAAGGAGCTTCATCGTCCTTTCCACTGCATTGCGTCCATGCTGAATGCTCAGAATATTGTTTTGAAATTTTTCCAAAGAATTCAAGCCAATCTTCAGCGCTGGTCGAGCATGCCAGGTCGTTTGGTAATGTTCCGTAAATGCCTAGCACCACAACACGCCGTAATTGTTCGAAAAAGAAAAGAGAAAAACGCGGATTTTCGGTTTTTATTTCGTTTTTTGTTATAACTCAATGAACTTTTCTCTTGTAGACACTGTATAAGACTCAACTCGTCGAGTTCTATAAGCTGACATCCTAAAAAACTGAAAAGTCGAAAATTGAACTCTGCTTCCTATCGAAGTACCTGAGGACACTCGTTAGCGAGCGAGTCTCGCTATAATTGTAACCAGAGGGTAATCGTTGGGAATTAAATCATTCAGGAATTCAAATAACGTACTGTATCGCGTAAGAATGTGATTGAAAATTAGACAGTTGTGTTTCCCAAATGATACTGATCATTACGATGCCCATTTTCCTAGAAATGGAGGGGTTTCGCTCGATGTCATTTTCGGACGATATAGATTTTTCAGTTCGAAAAATCTCGGGCACTTGTTCAGTTCGCACATGAGCACAATGGGCCTAGCGTACGGAGACTTCTTTTCCTCAATATTCGCGAAATTCAAGAATGAAGTCACAAAGAAGGGTTTTTTAGCTACTTGAAATGAGCACCTCGTACGATACTAGGATAAATACTCGATTTTCTGCGTCTTTAAACAATATTTCTAGATCTCAGAGTGCCACCGAAAATTCTATTAAAAAGCTTCATGCAGAACATTTTGTGCTTTCCAAGAACTTGGTGGAAAACAGTGGTCTCCATACATTAGGCCCATTGGCTCCTTTGCTCAGAACTGATCCACCTAGATTTCTTAAACTGAAAAAGCTATATCGTCCGAAAATGACATCGAGCGAAACCCCTCCATTTCTAGGAAAATGGGCATCGTAATGATCAGTATCATTTGGAAACACAACTGTCTAATTTTCAATCACATCTTACGCGATACAGTTCGTTATTTAAATCCTGAATGATTTAATTCCCACCGATTACCCTCTGGTTACAATTATAGCGAGACTCGCTCGCTAACGAGTGTCCTCAGGTACTTCGATGGGAGCAGAGTTCAATTTTCGACTTTTCAGTTTTTTAGGATGTCAGCTTATAGAACTCGACGAGCTGAGTCTTACGGTATAGGGTTCTACATGAGAAAAGTTCACTGAGTTTAGCAAAAAAAAACGAAAGAAACGCAGATCAGCGTTTCTCTCGTTTTTTTTCAAACAATTACGGCGGGTATTGTAGCATTCTCGAGATACACAGGCAACAACCCTTTAGGCAGAGAAAATGACTTTCGTTCGGCTTGGAAGGAGCGTTTTGCACTTCCGGTAGTTCCTTTGTTCATGTAACCTGACAGGTCAATTCTTGTGGCAAAAGTGAGCCACTTTGGCCGCAATAATTCAGAGCACTTTACCAGGTGGCCTGCGCAAGTTTCACTGAATACCATGCGATGTGCCCACCACGCCAAACTGCGCCAAAAATCGGTTCACCCACATGGGGTCCGTTCCCTTCCCGAACTTGGCAAAAATTATCGTCCCATTGGCTCACGATTGTTTCCTCGCCCCTCCCACTTTCCCACACTATCGCACGAAGGTGAAACGGAGAATCTGCGTAAAAATCGATACTGCAGCGCGAGGCTTTGAAAAATGACCCGGCATATTGGACTAGCGCATCACCTATTTGCGTTATCACCTAAATGTCCGTACTTCCTAAAGATCCGGGGCAGTCGGTTGAGGAAACTATTCCAAGAACGATACTATAGAAAGCCGTAATCAAGTTACTGAGCATCATAACTCCTGAAATTTCTCTTCATTAGGTTCTCTTCATTAAAAAACAATTCAAAACATGTCACTTCGCAGAAATGAAAGCTGCGTTCATACTTTGTGTCAGCGTCTGCGTTGCAGTAAGACGTCAGTGTATGCTTGCGAATGCCAGCATACGCTCGAATGCCGGATCAACACCCGTATTTTTCTAGTAGCTCGAAATGCTCGAAACGCTAACTATGATCGTACTTCTAAAAGCGTTTTCATAGCACAATCTTTCATGCATAAAATGCGTTGCGCGTTGCATCTAAGGGAAAACATGGATTTCTGCAGGTGGGATCAAAGAGCGGATGAATTTCACTTACGGGGGGCAAAAAAGATATTTGTTGGGTCACATGTATCAGTAAGTTTAGGGGCAGCCCAGAGAAGAAGAGACGTGGTAAACGAGTACCAAGGCGGAAAGATACTTCTTAGGCAGAAGCAGCCTCTCGCCCACCACCTTCATGTGCACCAAATTATTTCACCATCTACATTCGCAGTCTGACTGGAGAGGGCCTCTGGAATTCGCCGCTCATCTCAGCAGACTGCGGGATACTTCATTGGCATGAAGTCACCCATGGACGAAGGCTACTGTGGAGACCAGCACCTCTTGATCTGGAAAACTTCCAACATCGAGCAGCTCGCTACGGTCCAGGACATCATCTTCAACGCAGTCGTCAAGGCGCGGGGTGATGGTTGGACCGGATGTTTCTGGAATGTGAAGACCGATGTTTTCTTACGTGGACTGAAGGTGAACGCTGACGGTTACATCGACCAACTCGAGGAGAATATCCTGCCTTCATGTCGTCGCCTGTACCATCTTGGAAACTTCGTACTGCTACAGGATTGGGTGCCACCACATGGAATCGAAGGGCGTTGAGTACCTGAGAAGACGGAATATCCAGGTGTGTCACCTGCCCTGAACCCCCGATTACTGGGTTCGGTCGGAGCCCAACAGGGTGGCCTACAGTGCAGGGGGAAATCAATCTCTCGATGGCGTTCGTCCAGAAAGCTGTGGCGGAGTTTCGTGATCATGTGCAATTTGATGGTAGAAATGTCCAGTCAGTCAATAAAGTGGAACTTACATTGCCTTGAAAGCCGAGGAAAAAAAGTGTCTTTTTTTGCCACCCCCCCCCCACTCTGTACACTTGATATAACGGCATCATACCAGGACATCAAAACTGATACTTAGTTTCTTTTATGAAGGAAACCTTATGCTGGCCGTATGCGTAGGACAAGGGATACCTCTATGTCCCCCTCACTGGTGCTTACCTCCTTCCCATGAAGGTGATGAGAAGGATGTGCCACTCAGGCCACGGTGTACGTTGAGGATCCCCAGCAAGGGTCGTATTATCGCTGGAAGGAAGGGAGGCAGTTTGCCCGTGGAGGCCTTTTTGCTGATTGCTTTTCTCGCTTCACGAACGCTATGTTGATCGCAAACTATTGCCTTTTGATTGTCATACTGCAATTTTCCCTGGAAGACATTATTCGCCATTATTTCAGAACCCATTAAGGTCCAGGCAGCGCCCACGTTTATTTGATGTTCCCGCGCCCTCTCTGGATATCATAGCCCTCCTAGAGGATGCAGTATGTACTAGTTTTGCATCTCAAAAGGCGAGAGGATAGCGCCGTTCGCTAGTGAAGAGTCGGCCGCCCTGCCCACCTGGATTTCTATATAGAGCCATGATTTTTCTGCTTTTTTTTTCTTCACCACCGGACCATGCATATGAGCTCGTAACTCATCATTCTTCAACGCTTTAAAGGCTAAGCCGAAGCAGCTATGGCCAGGTGGTCGAGGCGACATCCCGTTCACGCGATAAAGAAGTCCTCGCACTTTCACGCATGTCGCATTCTTAGAGACAGGTAAGTCGTTAATATATGATGGTTTGTCAACGAATGTAGGCTTTTACTATGTTGTATTACAGACCTTAGCGACTTTATTGTTAAGAGGGAGCCCAGTCTGGTTAGTACTTTGATCAGCTTGATTGTTGTAAGGAATTGAAGTACTATGTATGCTTGTTTTATTTGAGGTCTGAAGAAGCTGTTACCACAGCGAAAGCTTACCAATGAAAATTTCATATCGAGTACTCACTGAATAGTGTAAGAAAGTAGCAGTAGTATGATTACAACAAGGGATAGTGATATGGGAGCGTAAACTGAGTGACAGAAAGCTCAAGGGCAGTTGTTACTTTCTGTTGTGTTACAGTTCGCTGTTTGTTGTTGTTTTTGTTGGCTACATGTTGCTCCTGCTTTTGGCTCTGTAAGCTGCCCTTGAGCATGACATCTCTTTCAGGCATATTATCTTCTCTGAATTGGTTTTCTGTTTCTACAGCTCTTTTGTTGGTTGTTCCTTAGTGTACTGTATTTCCTCTCCGATGCTGACCCTAGCTTCATTTCTCTTTCTCGTTACTGTTTCTAGCTTTTTCTGATTTACTTATTTGAGCGTTTCCTCATGTTGATATTGGCCTATTCATAGTTTCCATACCGTAACCCGTCCCCTTGAAGGTGGGCCTTGGTGGGGTTGACGGACCTACTAAGCTGGTATCCGGAGCCGCTTCGCTCGCTCGCGACTTGCAGTGTTGGCGGCCACTGCTCTTCACCGCCATGGCCCCACCTGCATGCCCTATATCAAGCCCGTCACTCCTTTTTTCCTTTTTGCATGTTTTATCGGTCACTCAGTCATACAATTACTTGTTGTTCTGTTTGTTCTTACTAACCGATAATAAATCATAATCATAATCATAAAGCGGTAGCAAGTGATTGGGGCAGAGAAATTGCGTAGCCGCCGTATTCTTTCTTCAAGGTGGTAGAGGTTTTATACAATGAAGTCATGAAGATTTTGTGTTAGGGACATTGATGACGGGTTTCAAGTACTATATCAGTTGATAAGAATAGGGGAGGCTATCTTCACATGCTTCGCGACTATACTGCTAAGTTTTCTCTTCGAAAGGCTGTTGGCGAGGGGTGAATAGTTAGCTCAGGCAATTAACTGAGGTCAAACCACAGGCAAGCGTGAGGCGATAGGTGGCGAGGCTCCTCCTACTCTACAGTACCATGCGGTTGCCTTACCACCGGCCCAACAATATCTTCACACCCGCTCCGGCAATGTATCGATAATAACTGCGGACTTCATGCAAACTATCTGTTTGCCAAAGGGGCAGATCACACAGTTAGGAGTGCCACATAAGGTATCGGAGGATCTGTTGTTCAAGAGAACAAGGGGTATTTCCACAATCCTACAT